CTTATCAAACACATCATATTTTTTCACAAGTAAGAAAATAAACACTTTTCTTGAAAAATCATCAACCACAGACAAGAAATACCTATTTCCACCAAGTGTGGAGACAAGTGCAGGACCCCAAACATCAACATGAACATACTCAAGGATTTCAGTGCACTTAGAAGTATTAGGGAAAGGGGATTTGGGGAAGTTTACTTTAGACTGTTTACCCATAACACATGAATCACATAGAGGTCTATCAGCAACAATATCACCACTCAAGTAATTGTTTTTATGCAAAATCCCTAATCCTTTGCTATTGATGTGATCTAATCTTTTATGCCAAAGATCAGTCATGTCATGCTGGATAGAATTCACATGTGAAATAGATATAGCAGATGCGACATTGTGTATTCTTACAGCCTTAAATTAAAGTAAACCATCATGCATGATACTCATCACCCCAATACCCCAAGTACCCTTATAACCATAAACCTCTAAGATAGCAAAATACATCAAATTACTACTAAGTTTAGGAGCATGTCTCACATTTTTCAAGTTAAGCACATAGCCAGATGAAAATTTAAGACATACAGTTCCAATGCCAAGTACATGTCCCTTACTGCTATCAACCATAGACACAGAGTCATTCTTAAGTTCAATGTAAGATGAAAACATGCTTCTGTCAGGTGTCATGATTTGAGCAAGCAAATCCAACAACCAGTCGTTAGCAGTCGAAGATGCAGACACATAATTCACATAATCAAGATATTCATTTGTAATCATAAACACACCACCCATGTTTTCAACAACTTGGTTAGCCTGTTCATTATTAGACTTATTCTCATTTTTAGGTTCAGAACAAATATTAGCATAATGACTAGCTTTACCACAGTTCTAACACTTTCTATGTTTGAGCTGGTTCATACTCTCCCCTTTACCCTTATCCTGTTTTTGAAAATTTTGATTACCAGAAGAAGAATGCTTGTTTGAATACTTGTTTTTAGACTTATTTTTCACAAAAACTAATTCACACAAAGATTTGTTACTTTTATTGGTTTTTAAATCATGTTCATTTATTTTCAAACCATTTATAACAGTATCCAAAGTCACTTTGTCTCTGGCATACTTAATAGCAGATTTTACATCACTGAAAGAATCTGGAATAGAATTTAACAGAACAATGAGGGTATATTCATCAATATTTTTATTCCCATTCAACTTTTATATTGCACGAAACTTTTCCAACAAAAACATTTTTTAGGGTAAGGAGGTCAGTTTCAAGTTTACCTATCTTTATAGCACAAACTCCACATTGGTATGATATTGTCCAAATTGGGTCGGACCTAATTGATTTTGCTCTTGGGTTTCCCTAAAAGGCTTCTTACCAATAGAGTTGCTATCCCCTCCTTATAAATAAGTGATCTTTCCCATATGAAACCGATGTGGGACATTGTTTGCACCTCAACAGTTGTTTTTTTCGTTTTTCAAGCGATAGGCGACCCTCCTAACATCACGAAATAACCGGTTAACGAACCTCGTGTTATCGGGAAACTCCCCCAATTCGAATCATAGTAGATGTGCAGTCGCAAGTCACTGTCGGAACACAACAACACACCTTGGCTAGGTTGTCCTTTTAAATAGTGAACTACGCACATCGCAGCTCCCCAATGATCTACCTTTGGATTCTGCATGAATCGCGCCAATATATGCACCGAATAACTAAGTTCAGCCCTAGTTATCGTCAAGTAAATTAGTCGATCAATCAAACGCTGATAACATTCTGGATCCTCCATAAGTGGGTGATCTGACAAAGCGGGTGATAATTTTGTTCAATCGGGACGGACGCTGGCTTGGCATCTAACAAACCCGTCTCAGCCACAATGTCCAACGCATATTTCCGCTGGCACAGGAAAATTTCATTTAAATTCGACTCACTTCAATACCAAAAAAATATTTCAGTACACCAAGGTCCTTAATGTGAAAGTAACGTAAGATAATTCCTGAGATGAGTCACATCCGTAGAATCATTGCCTGTAACAATTAGATCATCAACATAGACCAGTACGCTTAAGCGAATAAATGCCTTATCATAAGTGAAAAGAGAATCAATGTTAATTTTTTAATATCAAGGTTAACAGCTTGCTTAATGCCGAAACAAAACGTACAAATTTCCACCGTATTATTGGTGATGATACCAATATTTTTTAAGAATTACCTGAACTATTTCAATTACTACCACCAATACCTTTACCTGGCTTGGTAATGGACTAATGGCTTAACCGTCAATGTTAAGTTTAAATCAGTTATCAGGGGTGGCTTCCATCTTAATGCAAGATTAATGTTATAAGGAGGTAGGTGTAAATTTTTTTTTTATATATTATGCATCCTTAAAAAGTACTCGCAAAATAAAAAAAATAAAAAAAGTTATTGGTGGTACCTACAAGAATTTTGGAATGTCAACATAAGGAATTTCAAGAATTTAATCATTAAAAATTTGCATTATTTCTTTGATGCGAAGCGCAAATGACATCTTATTTTGTTATTGTTTTTTTTTTCATTTTTTATATTTAATTAACAACTTGACTAAGACGGCATTTTGGTTCATATAAATTTCATTCCGATCCTAGTCAAGTCTTGTCTACTCTGAGAATCTTGTTCTCTTCTTGCAATGTGCATAATATTTTATTATTATTATTATTATTATTATTATTATTTAATTATTATTATTCTATATTATTTTTAATGTTCACTATGTAGTCTTTTAGGTTCAGTTAATCTAATTGAGGTTGAAAATACATTGAACCTGTGATATGTTGTCCAACTTTTGAAGTTACACATGGGACCCCATTGATGTACATGTACAGTTTTATCCCCACTTTTTCTTCGACTTGTTAATAAGTGATGATTTGGCCACGTTTTAATCAATTGCCAACTCAAATGCCATATTGCTATCACATGGTCCCAAAAAGTATTATAAAATATATTTAATTAATTAATTAATTAATTAATTAATTAATACAAAGGGAAACAAGAAATCTCACATCAACTAAATAGCAAAAGGATGTGATGACCCTACTACATCTGTAAATGCATTGCCGTCTTCTTCGCGATTTGAAAATACATAATCTCTTGCTTTACTTAACTATTTCAGTTTGTCGTACACACGATTTCTGATTAGAGCGTGAAATTTTAACTATTCGAATATTTTCGAGCATTTCACGTAGTTTTTAAGTGTGATTTGTACAGGGTTGGCCCGAGGGCAAGGCTCAAGAGATCTGCGCCGTGATCCTACAAAAAAAATTGGATTATTCATAGAACCTTTGTGTATTTTTCTCCATTTCTTTAAACAAATTTTGATTAAAAAAACCGCCAAAAAGACCTAAGAACATTGTTCATTCATTATACATCCAAATATTGTAGCACATTAGCACAAACATAATTAATATATATATATATATATATATATATATATATATATATATATATATATATATATATATTATTCAAATTTCTTTAAATATTATGCTATTAATGGGCATCAAATAGTAGCCCAACTGTAGTATTGATTTATTATTGGTCAAAACTTGTAAATCCAACATAACTAATTTAGACCAATTTTTTTTATTTTTTTATTATTAAATTCAAGTTCTTCACAAGTGAAAGTAGGGAAGGGGACTTGAACCCTAGAGTTTTACCCGATTGGTTACATAAATAAAAACAATTATAGTACATTATTTGTTGTTTAATTAATTTAATTATTAAATAGTACGATATATAATATAATATAAAAATATATAAAATACCTCAATTTCCATTGTTGCCTGGTTTTGTTGGTAAAGGGAACACGCGTCCTTCGTTCAGTCAATGTGAAACTCGTGTGCAGTTACCCCTATTTTGTAGTCAACTTTCTAACTCGACTTCGAAGCTACCCATTTCGAGTGATCCCGCATTATTCAGATGTCTTCTATGGGTTTCAATTACTTATTTATGATTGCTCTGATGGGAAGCGCAATGTATAATATATAAGTAAACAATTTTTAAATTGAAAAAATTGTTAAGAATTCTAAAAAACAACTTCATTTTTTTATCCTTTTATTTTTAAATGAGGATAGTTCTAGTTACTCGTTTTCAAATTCCACACCTGGTGTCTCGAACCCATGATCAAACAGGATTAGGCGCAGGGTATTTACCAACATGCTACCTTGTATACGGCTTCATTTGAAGCTATGAATTCAAGTTAAAAGTTATATATTCCTAATAACAAATTTACTCAACTTTGTCGGTGAATTCACAATAGAATTATAATCCTTAGACTCTACTTTGAGCCATTTTTTATACAAGTGAGCATGGTTCGGTTTGTCTCGATTTTTAGCAAAAACTGAGCATGAACCAATGAACTCCGTTTATATAAAATTAAAAAAAACAAAACGATCGGTTTAATAGGGTTCCATTTATTTTGGTTTTGGTTCGTATTTAGTTTTTCTTTTTTCTTTTAAGGCTTCTGGTTTAAGAGTTTAGCTTCGTTGACTCGGTTTATATCTTCTTCTCTTCTTGTCTTTATAATGTAATGACTAATGAATACTAATTGTATGGTAATTTGAAACTTTGATATTTTAGTAAAAAAGAATATAGTTATCACTTGACTACAAACCATTTTTACATGTAGGTTCTCTAATGTAAAACTTTCAATTAGGTTCGGTTCGACTCAAGCGCTATGGTTTTATCTTGAGAAACCATACATGATTCAAAATAATAGTTTCTATTTTTTTCCGAAAAAGAAAAACCGAGTAAATGATTTTTGCGTCAGTACAGTTCCAAATGGTTCGGTTTGTCGATTTTTCGGCTTTTTCGCTCACCCCTTACCTTTTGTCTCCCTCAAACAGATACATTTCCTTTAAATCCTTCATTTTTCTTTCTTCTTTCCAGATTCACCTTTATGTATTTTGATCCAAATGCAACATGAAAGTATTATTAATATATACATATATAGCAATTTTAGGTGGGGTAGTACTACAATGTGTGTAAAAGGTAAGAACTTATCTATTACCAAAATGTAACAACATATTTGACACTTACCTAACAACATCATGTCACATGTTACACTACAAGGCAGTGTTAGATTCTACATCTGCTTATTTACACCGAGTGGATTTGAACCGTAGATTTGATTAAATAACTTCCCAGTAAGCACACATACACATAGGTGTGTGTGCGATTATGTATAGATCTACGGTTCAAATCCACCCAACGTAAATAATCAGATGTAGCATCTAATTTAACCACTACAAGGGTATCAATTGCTTTTTTTTTTTCTTTTCTTTTTATGGGAGATCATTAGCATCTGCAATAGTAATAATAAACTAAGCAGAGAAGTAAGAGTTTTACCAAACAAAAACTTCACCTTCGGCAGCCACTGATATGATTTTGTGGATTACTCAAGTTCCATCCTCGTTCCCTTTGTCTGAACTTGGTATCTCACACTCCGAACTTTTCTTGTTTCTTGCCTCTGCTTTCCAATGTCTCCGGCTGGATTGAAATCTTTGTGCTGAATTATTATCCGTATTTGAATGATTCAAAGGTAAATCTGCTTTGAGGCCACACTCGAGAAAGGAAGCTGAACTTTGACTCGGGCCAATAGGAACGGTTTCTTGTTTATTGTGTATATGGACTGTCCTAGCGTCTTTTTTCCAGTCTCTTTTACAATGGACACGGGTAATAAGAGAATCGGGGGGAGTTAGGTTTAGTGAAATGTCAACTTGCACAGGTACAGGTAGAAGCTGAGTGGACATGTGTTGGTAGTGGAGTGAAGTTGATTGATCAACAACAACAATTGATGTTTTTCCAAGATCGGCTTGATTGCGTTTTCGAGCCCTGTATCTACGTTGCCTTTCTCGATTCTTTAAACGACGAACCAAAATTTCGTCAGGGTTTCTTACGCCTTCTTTCTCATCTTGGTGCAACACCAAAGAACTTTCCATTCTGCAGTTAATGATAATACAGACTTAGCATAAACGAGATTTGGAAGAATAAAAAGAAAATTTTCCAAGCCAAAAATAATCGGACCTTCTTTGTCAAAGTCAAGCCTGTTTAATCGATTAAATATTTGTCAGTATTTGTGACGAGTCCACTTCATCATCAACTCTCACGAGATAGAAGTTCCAAGATAGAAAACATCATCCTTATGTGAAATAATAAGCTGCACGTAGAATTATAAATATATTAGGATCTTATTTTAGCACATGCTTTAGTTACCTATGGTGATATCCAATTTTAAGAACTCGCAAAGGTTTTGTGTAATTTCAAATGTTTCATATTTCATGTTTGAGTTTATAATCGACACGGGAGTCAAAATAATTGTATGAGCAAATACACAACTCACAACCAAAAGAATAAGAGGAAACTATAAGCTCGTACAGCTTCTGAACAAATATATGAGCTCTCGGGCAAAGCTATAGCTATATTACAACAACAGATTATTTCATATAAAAGATGTTAGCTTCAACATAAGGCAAAGAACACCATAAACAAAGGCGACATCAACACCAACAAAAATTTTCTCGGGTTAAAAAGAATCTTTGGACCATCAATTTGCAACTAAATAGTGATGCAGCAACTTTGGCAGGGATATTTAGTCGGCAAATGAAAAATTGAGACAGGCAAGATGCATCAACAAATCAGTGACGCTTGCTAATACTACAGTATGTTGGTAATATCAACTCGGCATCGATTTTTACTAAATTACATTGTCTCTCCAAATTTTGTGTAGAAGCCCTAGAAAACCTCATATACAAGAAGGTAGACTTATTAGTTATAATAGCAAGAACTCGAGGACAATAAGTTCAAGTAAGATTTTTTCTTAATCGAAAACACAAAACGGGTGAATAATGAAGGTATTGATCCTCAGCCTACAGATTATAACCGTAAAGTTGTAATAATAATAATTACAAATTAAGTTTCCTAGCCTATTCTAGATTCTAATTATATAGTACGAAAGACCTATACAATGATAAAATATGAGTATAGTATATCAGTGCAACTTTACTCGATATCTTTTACAAAGAACATAAGTAGCCAAGTAAGGTGAAATCAGTCAAGCTAGCTCATTCCTCGTTATTCTTGGGCAGACTATATGCATCCAAATGATCGAATATCTTAGATAGCTAGTTCAAAGTGGAGGAATTTATGTGAGTTTTCATTTCATTATTCAGATGCTTAGCAAAATCAAGTGCTTATCTGAGTCGCGCAAAAATCCAGCAATTTAGCTAAATCTACATGAAAATAGTAGCTAACTCAACCCCGTTTTGGACCCTAAAAGTTGGAATTTGATCTTTATAACTTGCTATGTATTTGGTCCTTTTTCTTATATGTTATTTTGAAAATCATGTAGTACATCTTCCATTAGTAAATGAATCTTGAACTTGCGTTAGATTTTAAAAATGATCTCTATCACTCCGTTTCTGATTATGGTTAGAGCAGGCTGAATATGATTTGAGATAATCTGTACTAGGAGTTGAGCATCAAGTTCAATCCATGCTGTCTGAATCTCGGTCGTTGAACATGCTCAAGTCGAATGTAAAATAGGATCACTATAATCTATAGAAGTGTTACACTAGTCCTTTTTTAATATGCGAGTCAGGTTAGCAATAAGAGGAGATTAATTGGTTCTTTGTTTCTACATACATAGTTTTTGTTATTTCAATACTTTCTTAAATGATATTTGAGCCCTAGGATAATACAAGACTCAGCGAAGAAGCCTTAAGAGTTAAGTCTCGTAGGCAAACATAACTAGTGGATCATATTACATCTTATTATACAATAATAACTAATTAAGAATTATTAAACTAGCATAGGCTTCGTCTTATTGAGTTCACCAGTTGTTCAAACTTCAATCCATATCAACAAGTGTTCGGTATATGAAGAATTAGGCGAATCAGCATAACGACTATCCTTAGTAAACCGTAAGCCACATGTATTCTGCTTGCAATATAGCACATGTATTTACCATTTTCTTTTCCAATGTAAGAGGGTTTCACGTTTTCCGCAACTCATTATCATACATTTCCAATTTAAGCATACGATATTTCGACACCGTCACTTTCTTATTCATTTTTTTTCGTATTTCATATTCTTAACCCTCTTCCTACTTTTAACCAATCTCGGAGAAAAGCAACGGCAAACTAGAAAATTCCGATCCTTCAGAAAATAAAACAGACTTCCAATTGTGCAAAAAAATCGAGTCGGTCAATGATTCAGCTAAAATTCATTGATAACCCAGTAAATTCAGCCACAGAGCTCCATAAACGAAAATAAGTATAGTCCGCATTTCAATTTATGGTGGGGGTAAATGCAAACAAAAACTTGAAACAACAGAGTTTTCTAAATGCATCCGAATCAAAAAGCTCTATGCATTAGAAAGTATAACAGAGATTTAAAAAAAAAATACCACAATTTTTGAACCAAAAGAAATTAGATCTCGGTAAAAAAAAAAAAAAAAGGCAGAATATATATACCTGGACCAAGCTTTGTCGAGGCGAAACGAGCAACGTATACATGCACGAAGACGCAAAACTAGACGGCGGGGAACACCGTGAACAGCGGCGAGGACCACCAACAGAACCGCGCAAAGACCACCGTAGCAGAGAAGATTGGGAAAGTGGAGGAGAATGGAGATGGACGAGGCGAATGGAATTGAATTTGGGATTATTTAATTCATTTAGGACAATTGATTTTCTAGTTATTAATCACAGGTTTGTTATTTTTTTTTTTTTTTATAATTCAGCTTTATTCAGCCCTTTAAAACAGAAGTCAAAATTTGTTTTTTGTATATTAATAGTAAAACCACGGTAAATAAATAGTTTTATAAATATGAAAGAATATGATTGCAAATCAATAAGAGCCCTTTTGCTTTCCTTGACAAGGCAAGATTGATAGAATAGTCTCGCCTAATTTTATCTTAGGATTCTTGTAGATTTCGGCCCGTCACTAATATAATTCATGGTTCACTATCCTGAAATTGGGTTACTGTTCCATCACACCTCTTTCGCCACGATGAATTTGTCATGTCTTGTATATTGATTCGTCTACTTGTGAAATACCAACATTATAACCATGAAATATTTGTGATTATAGAGAAAACCATGTATAGATAGAATTTTTTCACCCTCAAATTACATGTCATCTTATGTCCTAAGGCCTCTTTTACTTCTCTCTTTGGTTGGATGGTTTGGATAGATAGGTTGGGATGGGACAATTAATTTTGTAATTGATATGGTTTGAGTAACACTAATAATGTGTTTTGGTTTGTAGCATTACTTGGATATTAAGGACTTGTTTGGTATCAAATATTGCGTCATATACACTATATTTCATGCCTACTATTATGTTTGGTAGAAATGGGTCAAGCCCAGCATACACTTTCGGCCCCACATGGTATCCTACACTTTGGCTGATAATAGATCACAACCATAAGGAGGATCTAATTTCCAGGTCCAATATTTATTTGGGTATTAAAAAGAAAATTACATATGTACCCTGAGGCTGAGATACAATAAATATTTCCCAAACCCTAACATTAAAAATACGTTCTACATTAGCGGCTAAAGATTCTCTCTTTTTTTTTTCTTATAAAATTTTATCTCGTCTCACGTTTAGAGAATTCGATGTGCCCACACAATTCCTTTGAAGTTTGATTTCTTTCAGTGAATGCGAAGAAGAACCCCCTTTCGTATAATAAATTTGAGGTTTCAATTTTTTTTTTTTTTTTGTGCTTCCATTATTTGCAAACAATAATATGTTCTCTGTTAAATATCTATTATGTATGCGAAGCTCGTAAAAAATTGCAATTGGTGTTGTTGTTTTGGTTTATTTGCTTGTCAGAATGATTTCTAATATATTTTTTTTTTCATGGTTATATTGTTCTATTGGAGTTAAGATTAATTTTGAGGTGATGGATAATATTATGAAGGAAAAATTGGTGGTCTTTTTTATAGTTGAAGAGATAATACTCCAAAGTATGTTCTTTATGCAAATGTTTGTCAACTACACTGGAAGAAATAAACGACGCCAACATATTAATAATCGAAGGAGATATTCTATAACTAGTAGAATTTCGGATCAAGTAAACAACATGTAGAAACTTATCGAATTTACTGATGATGCATGTGTAGACATCGAAATTTTTAGATAAATCACCAATTAATAATCCAATTATTATTAAATTTGGTCTCACTCAAAGTCCATAATATATTTGGGCTTTACAAATGACCGGCACATCCTACAAGTCAAGAAACCCTAGCTCGTGGCTATAAAAAAGGGCTTTCGGTGCATGTAAAAATCAGACTCACACAGACACATATCGAGCTTTCAAGCTCAAGTCTCGAGCCTCCGCCTCGAATTCATAACATATTTGAATTCGAGGTGTTCGTGATAGGAAATCATATGTTCAATTCCTCGAATTCATAACATATTTAAATTCGAGGTGTTCGTGATAGGAAATCATATGTTCGATTCAAGAACAAGCTTTTAAGCCCTAGAATCAAAATTAGAATAAAAGAGAAGAGTCAGGGGAATTACGGAGATTGTAATCCACATCGTTTTGATTAATAAATTATTTGTTCCCTATTTTCTTGTCTTGTATTTTTATTATATTTTGCAGACTCGAAAAATTTGTGGTTAACAGCATATGTTGACAACTTGAGAATGAATAGCAATGATTTTGGTAGGTTTGTGTTATCTGTTACATCATGTTGGTGGTTTAGTGGAGTCTAGATCTGTTAACATTCCGGAGAAGGTAGCGATGTTCTTACACGTTATTTCCCATCATACAAAGAAAAGAACTGTAAAGCATAATTTTACTAGATCTGGTCACACAGTGAGCAAATACTTCAATGATGTTTTGAAAGCTGTCTTGAAACTACATCCAATTCTCTTAATTGAGCCTGAAGTTATCTCTACCGATTGTACAAATCCTAGATGAAAATGTTTTCAGGTAATATTTATAGTAAAATTATTTTTTTTGTGGTGTTTAATATTCAATTATAAGAAAACATAATTATTGGATTTTTTTTCTTAAAACTTAGGGTTGTCTAGGCGCTTTAGATGGACTTATATTAAAGTGAAGGTCGCTGAAATAGACAAGCCGATGTATGGGAATCGAAAGGGGGATATATTAGTTAATGTTCTTGGGGTTTGCAATAGAAAAATGAATTTTATTTATATCTTAACGGGGTGGGAATGATCGGCTGCAGATGGTAGAGTTCTCCGAGATGCCATTAGTAGGCCACATGGGTTGAAGGTGCCAAAGGGTACAACCTCCGTCTCTGTATTATACTTATACATCCATACATTTTTTTTAAAATAGTTCAATTTTTTTTCCCAAGAAATTATTGCCTATGTGATAATGGTTATGCAAATAGTGAATGTTTTTTGACACCTTACAAGAGTGGCATGTACCACCTAAATGAATGGAGGGACGGATCACAAGCTCCTCGTAACTACGAAGAGTATTTCAACATGAAACATACTAAAGCACGCAATATCATAGAACGAGCTTTTGATTTATTGAAAGAACGTTGAGGTATACTGCATGCATATTCGTCTTATCCTATTAAGACCATCACCATATAATTATGGCTTGATGCTTACTGCATAATTTTATAAAGGCGGAGATGGATATTGAACCATTAGAAAATTTTCAATGTGAACTTGATGATGATAGGTATTTGGATAGAGAGTTTTTTAGCACTATCAACCCATCACCACAATAAAATAGTTGGAGAGATATGTTAGCTCTTAATATGTTTACAGAATAGAGAGGGGCTCGCTAGATACAATAATATAATAGGTTATATGTATGTATATATTTCAATTGATTAAGACTGTTTAGTTATTGTTGGCGCCAGATTTCCACCGAGGAAGAAATCCGCCTCACTTGGGAAGTAAAGATTGGCGAAAGATTTGTTCCCATGTTTATTTTGGAAATTTAGAGTCCTACCTTTGTAATTCTTTAGGACTTATATTTATTTCCTTGTACTTTACTCTTGTTAGGAATCTTTTATAGTTATCTAGATTAGAACTAGATATTGACTAGGATTATGTTTCCTAGTTATTCGGTTCCTTTGGAAGACAGGTCTTTGGAGGCCAATCTCACGCCTATATAAGGCTCCTCACCTCACAAAGACCGTGACACTTTTTTTGGGACAAAAATCACTCCATAGCTTTGAAGAATGGCTGAAACGTTCTGCTGAACAGAACTGTGTCATCGTTGGATGTGTCAACATATACAGATTTGCTGTGTAGATCTCTTGAGAGATCAACCGCGTCACTGAAGGGAGTTCAGGCCAGAAAGGAGTTCTAGGCACGCGGTGTGGAGCTGCTGTTGGAAGAATCACGAAGTTCGAGTTGTGTGTAAGAACGGCATATTACATAAAGAGGGAGTCTTTAGTGTTTTTATTAAGTCCTATTAATGTACACTATAAATCTGAACTAGTGAAATTGTGTTTGCAGGTCCACGTGGATGTAGGGCACAATTGTGTCTGAACCACATTAATTCTTGTGTTCTGTTTATTTACTTTAAGTAGAGTATAAATGTGTTAACACAAGATTTACAGTTGTAACTGAATACTGTTTCCACAACTTAACTGTTACAACTTAGGTTAATTGATTTCTATAGGCATATAAATCAACAATTGGCATCAAGAGCATCTCACTAGATATACATAGTATGTGATTTTGGGAATTTGATTTATTTGCCATTTATTGTTCATAGGTACTATGAGTTCTCATATGGAAGGAGGCTCCACTACTCGCCCACCACTGCTCACGGGAACCAACTACTCCTATTGGAAAACTAAGATGAAGATGTTCATAAAGTCAATGGATGAAGATGCATGGCGAACAGTGTTGACTGGATGGAAGCGACCCGTTGCCACAGATGAGAAAGGGATTGAAACTGAGAAACATGAGAAAGACTAGAGCAAAGCCGAACAAATTGCAGCAAATATGAATTCCAAAGCCTTGAATGCTATATTCAATGGAATTGATATCAATCAATTCAAGATAATCTCGGCGTGTGAGTGTGCTAACGAAGCATGGGACAAACTCCAAACAGCTTACGAGGGAACTGCTTCAGTCAGACTATCCAAACTTCAAATGCTTGCCACCCGGTTTGAAGATCTTCGTATGGAAGAAAATGAGACCATGACCGAGTTTAACTCCAAATTATGTGACATATCAAATGAAGCTCATCGCCTCGGTGAAACTTATCCTGAAGTTAAACTTGTACGAAAAGTGCTCAGATCCATGCCAGACCGATTCGCGTACAAGATCACTGCCATAGAGGAAGCTAGTGATGTGGACTCATTGCGACTTGAAGATCTGATTGGAAATCTACAAACTTTTGAAAACAAGTTGAACATCAGCAGAATGGACAAGGAGAGAAAAATTGCTCTGCAAACTGTATCGGACACCACAACATTTGTGCCTACTCTTCCTATGACAACACTTGAAGTCAAGCTCACAAAATCCATGTCCTTAATAGCAAAAAACTTCGGAAAATTCATGAAGAGAAATGGACATCCTACAAACTCTGAGAGAAAACCCAGGACCTCTACAGATAAGCCAGAAGTCAAGAAGAGAATTCGATGTAGAGAGT